ATTTGTGCACTGCCATTTTCTTCATGGCATTATCTCCATAAACTTAGACTAACATGTTCCTGATTTCATTTCCACTCTTGCCAAGATTAACAAGAAAATTCACGTTTGTCTGTTGCTCTAATTCAAGCTCAGACATTTTCATGATGGCACCCAAAATCACACAACAATAATGAACGCCACTCACAAGACACCACCACACATCGACACGAACACAGCTGTGAGACACTGATATGCCAAGGTTATGAGACCTTACTGAGCTGTTTGTACAGTGTTGCCAATGTAAGCACAGGGTGGCAAGTTTGCGAACTTAATTGTCACACCTAGTCCTTAATGCTGGTGAGGATATTGTGAGATAAACAATCTCATAAACTGGTAGTCAGAATGAGAGCAATACTTTTTTCAAGAATAATTTGAAAATACATATCATCTAATTATCCTGCTTCTTAGAATCTCTCCTGGGGAAATAATAAGAAACACAGTAAAAATTTATATAAACAAGTTCATGGCAGCTTTATTTTTAATAGTAAAAGCTTAGATATACTTAAATATGCCATATGTTACATAAATTATGGGATACTCATGAAAAGAATGTAATTTTGCTATTAGAGTGGATTAGAAGACTATAGAATAAGAACATGATATAATATTACATAAAAAAGACATCTATGATATTTTATATACAGCATATGATTGCAATTTCATTTTTTAAAAATCTACAAGGAAGGAAACAGACTCAATATTAACAATGGTTATCTGTGGGTGACTTTTATTAATATTTTCTTTGTTTACAAATTACTAAGTTTTCCAATAAAAATATCAGATAAAAACTTTTTTTAAAAAAGTGTATGACTTTTGCTAGGTGTGTCCTCGTTCAGCAAATCACCTTCAAAGGTTCTTGCATCAATTATATCTCACCTACTTGCCATAATTCCTGAGAAATTAAGAGGTACTCAAAATTGAGAAGCAGCTGATTAAAACATTACTTAACAAAGCACAGGGCTGAAAGGGGCGTTTGTGTGTGAAGGTGAGGGAAGGGGAGTATAAGGGGAGGTCATCCAAAGGTTAAGAAACAACTTATGAGAATTACTTTTGTTCAGCCTGAAAAAGCATTTCCATTTACATCTCAGCTTTGTGCCAAAGTCCTGCGACAATGGCTGAGCCATTGTGCCTACTTATATATTCAAGTGCCATCCAGGCAGTGGGAAATTCCAAAGAAATAGGCATAATCAGTCGGATGTACTGTAATGTGGGTGTGCTTTTAATGAATGTGCAGAGGTTGTACGGATCAATTGTCCATTTGATTAATTCCTCTGGCAGGAGAAAATTAAATGTACTTAAGCTACACACCAGCAAAAGCTGAATGCTCTTTAAAATGTGATTTTCTGTGTTAAGGCCAATTTTTTTCTGGGCAAAACATTTCTTGGGATAATAATGGAAGTCAATGAGAAAATGGAATTGGCCATATAAATATTCACAACATGTTACTTTGTCAGAACAGCATCTAATGGGCAAAACAAGGTCAAAGTCTATATGGTATTCACCATTATTTGCAGCAAATCTTCCTTTCAAGCTCTTATTTGCAGCATTTCATAGAAGAGGTGATAACGTCTGATTTTAGAAATAATTCATTTTCAAAACTTGACCCTTTTCCTCTATAAGGCATTCATCATTAGCTTACTAGAGATTTCTAAATCCAAAAGAGGTAATTATTTTCTTGAATTTCTTGGCAGGTGTAAAGCCCCAGGGCAAAGAGAAGTCTTGTACTTTTTATCACTTGGAATGATAATGTCTGATATGTCAATGGAAAGCAAGGGAATATTCTGAATGGTATGGAAAAGCGGGGCACATGTCAAAGTCTCAGAAATCATTTCACTGAATTCATTCAAGGAGTATTTCTTGAATGCCTATTACGTGCCAGACATGGTGCTGGGTCCTGGGGGTAGAGCAGTGAGCAAGTCAAAGTCAACATTATCACGGAACATATACTCTAGCGTGAACGACAGACATTAATCAAATTGCTCAAATATATAATAACTTCATTATTCTGTTCCAAGTGATATAAATTCCCAAACTATTAGCTCACAGTCTAAGGCAGCAGGAAAAAAAATCACTGCAAAAGAGAATACCAGATTTCCTTTCTGTTTCGGGTAGATGTCTTGCTGAGAATCACTATAAAGACAAAGACACCTAGGAGGGTCCACTCTGAATGAAGCTGCAGGAGGGAAAACTTTTCCTTTAACCCACACTGAATAATTCCCTCCAATTGACTGATCCCAAGTAAAGCCCAATAAAGCCCTTACGATGCCAAGACCCCCAGAGCTGCTGCTGCCTTTACTGTCCCAGCTGCAGAGAAATCTGCCTCTCCCTCTGAACAGAGGTTACCTGCCTTTTATCCTAACCTGGGGCAGAGAGGAGGGTCAGTCCCCAGCTAAGAGCAGAAGACAGAAATACCATTTCTCACATGACCTTATTCCCTCGTTTCCTTCTCCAGGAGCCAAAACAAAGACATGGTCCTGCATAGATCCCTCCTCTAAGACAACCTCCCCTTCTTGAATATGTCTATTCTTATTTTTTAATATTCAAGCACCATTCATTCATAGACAGATATTAATTCAACATCCAGTAGGTGCTGGTGACATAGCAACAAACAAGACTGACAAAAGTCCCTGGCTGTAAAGAGTTTATATTCCCGAAAGGGAATACAGCCAACAAGAAAGCAAGCAAGGTCATTTCAAAATGTGGGAAGTGTTAGGAAGAAGATAAGCAGAGAGATCCATCAGGGTTACTGGTGTATGCGTGCGTGCATGCGTGCGTGCGTGCGTGCGTGTGTGTTAGAAGAGGCTGTCTTTTAGCAAGAGTGGTCATGGAAGGTCTCCTCAGAACTGAGAGTAGAACTAAAGAGGAGAAGGTGACAATGGAACAGAGAGCATAGAGAAGGACATTCCAGGCAGAGGGAACAATGTATGTAAAAGGCTCCAAGTTGGAATGAACTTAAAGGGATCAAGGAACAGAAAGGAGCTCAGTGTGACTACAGTGCAAGGGTGAGGTGTCAGGGCTCACCCCTGAGGGAATTACTAGGTCCCATGAGGAATTCATATTTTAGCCTAAGTGCAGTAGGGAGTTGACTAGATAGTGATGTGACCTCTCCAGGCTTCCACAAAAAAGAGCAAGTAGGGAGTGATTTGAGTAGGCCTCTGAGTGGAAGATCTTTCTAGAATGGGCAAGAAAATGAATTAAAGAAATGAGCAGCATGGGGGGAGATGAGCCATGAGGTCTTACTTTATGGATCATGTTTAGAGTTTCAACTACTCTGGATTTCTCATATCCCTATTCATTCCATGAACACAGTGATTACAATTTAACTAAACATTATTTGGAAATATATCTGAGAATGTAACCAGAATACATGCAATAACACTTAAAACTGGCAGAGAGAAAATTAAGTAAAAGATGGCACAGATCCTATTTGGCCATTTTGTCCTTCAAAATTTACGACAGTCTCTTCTCTGCCTGTAAGTCACTTACTTACTGTGAGCCAGTCATGCAAATATACAACTCTTTTTGGAGAAGAGATTTAGTGTTCAATGGAATGATAAGGGGAAAGGGAACCAGCTCTTAGAAGAATGTACAGAAATCTTAGCAGAATTAAAATATCATTTCTCACATGGATCATGACCTTATACCCTTGTCCTTTCTCTCCTTTGCCCATGTTCTGGTCACAAATAAATCTTCATAAAATACAGTTTCAATCATTTTACTTCTCTGATGGAAAATTTTCAATAGTTTATCACTACTTACTGGATAAAGAAAGTATTCTTCACACTTTCTAGTTTGACTCTTAGCTGTTTTCCCAGCCTTATGAACAACTAACTACCTCCCCCAAAGTCAAGATTCTATTCTCCCCTCTGGGAACACGTCTGGAGCTATCCCATTTCCATGACTTTGCCCACAAAAATTCCATTTTCCAGAATGCTTGTTAGTAGTTCTTTAATTTGAGGGTATCTCAGACCACTTTAACAAGGAATGAATGTTATATAAATCCTCTCAATAGGAAAAGTGACATGTGCAGATTTTTGTACAATGTCATAGACACCCTAACAGTCATTCCACAACCTACTGAAATCCTACTGGAATCCTACACATCCTTCACGGTTCAGGTCAGAGGCCCTACCTTCCTTGAAGTATTACCAGTCCTCTTCCTCGCACAGTGGGTGGGACCCTCCATTCCCAGGGTGCTTACACTGCTGTCACTTGCTCGGAAATTTGTGGCATATGGCTTTGAGCCCTATTTGATACTATGGTCGTGCACCCTGTATGCTATTTAAATTTTTATCTTCATATATCTTATTTCCCTCACTAGAATCAGAGTTTAAGAGCAAGAAGCGTTTTAGTCATTCCTAGTGACTAGTTCAGTGTCTGGCGTGAATTCATGTACAAGTGAGTTAACATGAATGGCAGAGAAAATGGTTTCCTAAAAAACTGTGGGTGCCTTAATAATAGGAACTACCTTGCCTTTATCTTGGTATCCTCAGAGTGAGAGGTGCTGAATGTGCCAGTTGATTGATAAGAAAACAGTAATAGGGATCCTTTACTGAGTATTTACACACCAACTCCTTATTGCTATCTTTTATCCTTACAAGGCTCATGTGAGGTGTAAGCTACTACCTCCATTCCAGAGATGAGTAAACCAAGAATTAGGTCAAGTTTCTCATGGTCAAATAGCTGGATGCATTAGAGCTGGTGTTAGAATGCAGGTGTGTATGACTGCCTAGTTATTTCCTCCAAAATTCATGGCTCATGGATTTGCTCTGTGGTTTGTTCTGAAAAGGGCTCTGCCCTACATCCATTCCGTTTTATTTTACATCTGTTAAGTCAGGCCCTCCCCCTGTAGCTCTGTGGACAAATAGCAAGTGACAGTGGCCTTGATCCCAAATGGCCATTGGATGGCTTGATCCAGATAGCAGTAGGGTTCTCTGTCAATGGTTGATGCCAGCACTCACCTGTCTGTCAAAGGTGTGATGACCAGGCGAGGTGTATTTCCCAGGTACTCATAGGAATATAAAAACTGGGCATCACAGATGTTGGCAAAGCAGTGTTTGGCCTCATCATCCCAACGATGCCTCAGCTGGGATAGCCAGAGGAAGGCTTGGGCATTGTCTACCTAAAGAGAGTGGCAGAGAATGTGGGTGAGACAGTGTTCAACAGGTAGCAGGTGGCCCCTTGGCCACAGGACACCCAGGGCTCTGGATGGCTTGGGTGTATCTACCAGTCAAGAGTTCAGCATGCTGTGCCCACCACAGCACAGAAAGCATGAACTGTTCTGATTACTCTGTTTTTCTGGGACTTTAAAAGTTTGGAGAAGCCACCATGATCCTCTCCCAGCTCTCTAGCCAGTGCAGAGTCTGGAGTCCCCATGTTTTGGCCATATGTGAGCTTCTCTCTAACCCCAATATTAATGGTGTAGCTGCTCACAAAGAGGGACGCTCCTGAATATTTGGGACTCACCTTCTGAGCAATCATCTTGGCCACCACATCCCGGGCATGCACGTCGATGGTGCATATTGTCATGATCTTCTGCCGATCCCCCTTGGAGAGCTGGCCAATCAGCATGGTGATGAGGGTTCTGAGCTGGGCCACTTGCTTCTTGTAATAGTCCTTCATGGCGTTCTCATAGCCTTCCTCCAGCCTGGCAAATGCAATGCCCACCTCTGTGGTCCACCAGATCTGAGTGCAGGTCAGGGCCACCTGTGGTGTCAAGAGTTGCCCAGTAAAGCCATTATCCAGCCTGTCTCCAAAACTAGCCCACTCACCACTCAGCAAGGGCTCAGACTATAAGTGTGTGAGTGACATAAGCTCTGTCCCTCCCTCTTCCACCAGCATCGACTAAGTGAGCCACATACCTCTAAATCCTTGGTGCTGTGAAGTGGTTACGATACAGTGGGGAAAGCACTTTCTGCTCTTGAAAAATGCATCATTTGGTTGAGAACAACCAAAGACTTACTCTGGCCAATGTCAGTGGCTTCTAGACACTGCTACACTGATCATTGCGTTTGGAAGCTTCTTTCCTATGCTTGAGAGGGTAACAATATATTGACTGAACTTCTCAATAACACTCTGTCTTCCCTCTGTTCTAGAAACTCTTGTGGTCCGAGTATTCTAGTTTAGTGAGCTGCTGCTGATCATGTGCTTGTCCATAACACTTTCACTACATTTTTTATTTCTTAAAACCTATCACCTTGAAAGGCCTACTCTTGAAGCTCAAGGTGAATTATACCAAAATTCAATGTGGTAATGTGATTTGCATTTTTCAGAGACTCAAAATAAATGGAAAAAGAAATTCAAATGAGCATGTCTTTTGTTTAGTGAAAAACTTAATAAGAAAAATGCATAATTTTGATTATTCATGGTAGAGAATTTAGTTAGATACACTGATCATCTGTAGGCTCATCTGGTTTGGGAGACACTGTTCTAGATGATATCTGTCACAACAGTAGGAGGCAGCAAATTTTCTTGTCTCAAAATTCTTATTCAGGTAAACAAGGGATCTTGATGGGAATTATTTCCTTTGTGAAACAGAGAATTCTGTTGCAATAAAAAGTACCATTTCCTAATTTATCTGTTTTTGCCTTTGGATTTAGACATATTGGGTTTTGTTAAAGAAGTTTCTCCTACATTTTGATCTTGTTGGGATGATTTGAATGTGAGGTGCCAAATGTGCTGTAAAAAAAAATACCTCTTCCCTGCTGCAGTACTGACTTGTTTCTCTTCTTACTGTCTGTGTACACTTGCTGTCAACATTTTCCCATCTTCGTCTCATTTCTCAACCCCATGCAATGTGGCCTCTTTTCTACCACTTTACAGAAATGGCCTCACCAAGTTCACAGACACTCCTCAGCCTCTTTACTTTGCTTGATCTCTTAGAAGTCCATGGTGCAACTAACCTATCAACAGTTTCCTTTCTGGTTCTCATGATTACCATTTTCTGGTTTTTTTTATATCTAAAAAGGTGCTATTTCTCATTCTGCTCTACTGGCTCCTCCTCGCCTACTCAGCCTCCAAATGACGCTCGAGGGTTTGTTCTACACCCTCATCTCAGTCTACATACCCTTCCAAGGGCAACCTTATCTACTCCTATGACTACAATGACCACCAAATATCGGCAAGATCCAAATATATTAGCACTAGTACTATGCCACCAACGGGGAAGGGAGGAGAGGTGTGTTACAGCCAGAATCATTTAAAAAGTTTCTCATTAGTTCTCCCCTTTCTCTTATCACCCTCCTAAAAACCCTCTTAAAGATTCAGACATGACTTAGAATCGAGTCAGGCTCCCTCACATGGTCTGAAGAACTGGCTTCAAGTTTCCTCTCCAGAATCCATCTGCTGCCTCTTGCTCCCTCCTCCCCTTCTCTCGCTTCAACCACACTCAGGTCCTCAAACATGTTATGCTCTCCCTTGCTGCTGAGCCTTCACCCATGCTTTTCCTCATGCGTGGCTGTTCTTTCCTCCATCTTTACCTTGTTATCTCCTATTTCAAATCTCAGCTTAAATATCATATCCTCAGGGGGCTGGTCCCCAGAGCCCACTACATAGCTATATGCTGCTGAAGTGCCCTTTTATCATCGCACCAGGTCCCACTGTAAGTGACTAAATTCCATGCCAGTCTGTAAACTCCAGCAGGGCAGGGTTTATCATCTTGTTCCCTGCTGCTGTCTCCTGAACGCAGCAAACAGCGTGGCACAAAGGAGGCTGGGTCAGTAAGGTGAACTATTTATATTTTCTCCCTACTGTAACCAGTGAGGGTAAAAATGGACAACCCTTCATCTCTAAGGTTATGGTTGAATTACATTATGGCTGAAAATTCTCTTGCTCCCTCTTCCTGACCCCTCACAGACCACCCTCTCCTGGTTGTGAAGCAAAGAGTGAGTTTGATGTCTGGTAGCCCCTGAAGACTGCCTAGTGGAGGATGGGGGCCCACAAAGGTCCTGGTTAGGAGGACACCTGAGCTGGGTAGTCAAACAGCCACTGCTCCCTCGGCTTCTCTTCATAGGCAGTGACACCTTCTGTCATCTCATGCCTCACGGTGGCCTTCATATGAGCAAGCACATGGTTCAACCATATTTCTACCTGAAAGAAAAACTCTGGGTTAGACACTGGATTCCTAAGAAGATAGGATCAGTAATACGTTTTTTTGCCACTCAGCTTGAGGCAGTGAAGAAAATGGAGCCCAAGTATGAGGCACAACCCCAAATGACTGCCAGAGGCACAGGAGACATTTCATTCATGTAACCCAGTGTGGTGATAGGTAAGAACCAAGCTCAATTAACAACAGGTGGATGTGCCCATTTGGAAGACACAGGGCAGAGTGGCGGGTTAAGGGGCTAAGGGCAGGGGCTACCATCCAGCGTTCATACAAGGAAACCCTAGTCTGGGTTGAGCTAAGTAAGTCAGTAGATTCTCATGACCTTGTCTATGCTGAGTATGGAAATGTATGCCAGGATTGTTTTCCCACTGTATGCTTTCTGGGTCTACAGAAAGGACACGTTCTGAATCAAACTCCAGGGTCCCTCTCATAAAACTGAAAATGTCTGATTATTTTCTGGTTTTCAGGAAAGCACTAGAATTGCTTTCCAAAGATTAGGTGGATGAAGGCAGAACTCTATAAAAGGTATTTTCTCCAGGTGCTACTTTGGACTAGATTAGAACCCCCAGAGTTCTTTGTTGGATCATTTAGGATAATGGACAAAGAAGGGCTTATACCTTAGTGTAAATGGTGAAGGATGAGAAGGAAGTTTAAGAAGAGAATTGTCCCATGCTTTGCTTTTCTTGAATTGCACATGAGAGACTTGGAGGTAGTAGTTCTTGGAGCCTGGTGATAGTTGGCTCTCCAAGAGCTGTGGGAGGAAGTGACTCTGAGGTGTATTTATAGAGAAGTGACATCTCAGGAAAATGGTTGACTTTAAAGGGTATTTTCTCCTGGAGAAGATGTCAGTGTTCCTGATTCCCCTGTGGGGTGCTCCAGGGGGGTGTCATGTTAGTTTCTTGGTGCTGCTAATCATTTTGAAATTCTTTTCTCATTGACTCAGGGAGTTGTTTATGTGCGTTTCATTCCTCTCTGCTCAGATCTTTGGTGAAGGAAGATATATGAATATTGACACATGTCCTTCCTAGAGAGAGAAAGGCAGGCACTTGAAGCTGCTCCAATGTCAGTTCAAGTCAAGGGAAGCTGGCAGTCCCTGGGCACACACAGCAGTTCTGGCCCAAGGTCAAAAAGGCCATCCTAAAAGTTGATGCTGACTATATTTGAATGTACACACTTGGGAAAGAAAGGCATAAGGAGAAGAGAGGATGTTTCCATCACCTGCCCATTGCAGTTGCAGGGCTCACTGAAGGCCACATACTCTTCTTCCTTGCTGTACATGCCAAGGCTTATCTTGGTTGTTTTCTCGCTTGTGTCCAGCTGGAACTGCATCTTGGCCATATTGTCAAAGAGTTTGGAAAGATGGCGTTGAACCTATAAAAGAAAACCATGCCGAAGGACTGGAGGACGTGTCCAGGAAGTTACTTATTAGTATTGTTTAGAGGTGTACCTTGTGACAACTATCAGAGTATCGGTTACCAAACATTTAGAAGGAAGCTTGTGGGGATGATGGTGATGTGAGGCTGGGAATCAACTGAATTGGGTAGAAGTGACCAAAAGAGTGTAATACTAGTGGGAATTATGCCTTGGCTACAAACCAAGGAAGCCACCAGTTTGATTAATTTCTGCTTGGTCTACTATGGATCGGAACAGATTAGAGAAAAAATAATGGTTAATTCATAAGCCCTCTTCCTAAGAAAACACTACTGTGTGGTAGGAGATAGCCTCTGGGTGGTCTGCAGAAGAATGCTAACGCTCCTAGATCTAGTGTCAAGCGCAGTGGTGACAGTGGCCTATGGAAGAAGTCACCCAGTTGTTGGAAGTGATTTGGTGCAGCAGAGCATCATCTGGAGGGTCCAAAGCAAGGCAGGCATGCTCAGTCCAAGCAGAAAGCCTGGTCATGCCAGGCATCTCTCTAGCATGGTATCTCAAGATACAGAGGCCCTTCACAATGATGCCTCGGGCAGAATCTCTAGGAGGGATGCTACACTGTGGCCCTGAGGTTTGGGAAACAGCAGCCTGAAGAAGAAACAATAAATAAAAAACTGCCCTTTGGTAGAGGTTTTTTAAGTATAAGGTCCTTCCAGCTGATGGTACCCTGAGGGTAGTCCTAAATTTACAACAACCAGCTCTCTAGCTTGTGAGATGAAAGGAAAAGTTTTGAATATTTAGGTAAACTATAAAAGTATTCGAGGAGAACTCATAGTGACTTGGGACAAATATCTTGATGGGGTGAATCTTTTTTATCCAAGAACAAATAGCAGATTAACAAACAAAGAAACAACATGGGAACTATGAAATTGTCCTGCACTTAAAAGAATGAGAAAACAGGACGCAAAACAAAGAGTAAAGGTGTGTGTGTGTGTGTGTGTGTGTGTGTGTGTGTGTGTGTGTATACACACATATATACATAGATATGAAGCTTTAATGAAGGAAACAGAATTATGAAAAACATCACCTTGTATTGTCTTCAATTAATAAAAGAAACATGAACTCTATAAAATATGAGGTGAAAGATGAATTGGTAGAGGTAGAAAAATAAAACAAGAAAACCAACAAATAATAGTACAGTTAGTAACAATATAGCAATACTAAAGGACTCATTAACACAAGCAAATTAAATAGGGTGGATAAATCTGAGAAACTATTGCAGAATGCCATGGAAGAAGACTAAGAGATAAAAAATATGTATGAATATAAGAAACTATGCATGAATATATTAAGGTAATATATACAGCATAGAGAAAACAGAATCTCAACTTATGGAAATATGATGAACCTGAGGGAAAAATTTATCTAGATAAATGGAATAGAAATATTAAAAGCTTACTCAAAGAAAACTTTTTCAAGATAATGAAAGCCTTGGTTTTCAGATAGGAAAAAAACCTCATCATGTGTTGGAAACATTAATAAAATAAAGTATCTCAATATACACAAACTTTCTAAAATTAAAATCTAATTTAAATTTTGATCTCTTAGAGATCCAGATAGAAAGAAATTAGGCTACCTATAAAGGTTAAAAAAAAAAAATCAGACAGGCAGGTAGGCCTCAAATGTCTGTAACAAGAAACATCAGGGCTATTCCTGCAGGAATTTGAGGGGAAATTGCTGTGACCCATGAATTCCAAACCCAACCATTCAATCACTCACATGAGGAAACTAAAGAGAGTCACAGATATAGAAAGAATTGAGGATTATTCTATCTGCTTCATCTCCGGGGGTGAGGGTATGAAGAACCACTTACAGGTTTACTCAAACCAAGTGAGAAATAAATAAAAATAAATATTTAAGAATGAGTATATTATGTATAAAAGGTGTAAAAGGTTTGGCAATGATCTTTGACCCCTACTATACATAGAATTAATGAACATATAGTTACAAAACAATGCAAATGTGATAAATATTTCAACTCCACTGTGCATGGGCTACTTTGGAAATAGTTCAATCAATAGAAAGAAAAGCGGGGGATATAACTACTAGGGTTAATCTTTCTTTAGTACTTCCTTATTTCCTACAAACCAAAAACATAATTTCACTAAGTTAGAAAAACCTTAAAACTGAAATCAAAGAGAACCCAACTATCCTTCAAATAACAAAATCACACTGAAGGAGGAAGTGAACTCATCCAAGTAACTTCCTTACACAGCATTTTGACTATAGAATAATCTAAAGGAAACTAAGAGAACTACAAACAAATCTTGAACTCTTCTTAGGGTGACCAGAGAGGAAAGCCAACAGAATGTACAGTAAAGACATAATCCATTCCTCCTAGCCATCATTTTGAGATTCAGACTCTAATCTACAGCAGTGGTTCTGAAAGTGTGGTTCCCAGGCTAGCAGCATCACTTGGGAAATCCTTAGTAATGCAAATTCATACCTACTGAATCAGACTTTCAGGGGGTGGGTCCAAGGAGTCTATTTTAACAAGCCTTTCAGGTGATTCTCACACACTCTCAAGTTTGAGAACCACTGACTATAGCGCTGAATACAACTGTGCTTTAATTGGTTACTTTAATATTAAAAATCTTGTAATACAGTAGGCTTCTACTATTTTACAGATGAGGAAAATATGTCTAATAAGTGGCTAGAACAAGGCTATAGAACCCCCAAATTTGGGCTTCTCATATACACTCTTTCCACTAAACCACCCCAATGTCCAGTTACTACAACTTCTACCTTATCTCCCTCTGGAAATTTTAGATATAACTTTTGTTGCTGTTGTTGTTTTTTAGTTTCAGGTGTACAAAACAATGTAATAGTTAGACATTTACACCCCTCACGAAGTGATACCGCCCACCCCAAATCTACTACCCCTCTATCATTGTATATAGTTGTTAGCTATAGCTTTTGACTGCTATTTACCAATCTCTCCGTAGAATCAGATCAAAGGCATTCCATGCAAAGGCTTAGCCCCTCCCACCTTTGTCATCCTCAAAGCCTCTCCAATTCTACTTTAGGGAGTCAGAGCAACTGGTGGGTTGGAGGGCATCCTGAGAAGTGGGAATGAAGACACTCTGAGGTTAGGGATGATGCTGGTGGCAACACAGGACTGAAATATGCTCACTGCTAGAGAGGAGGTATAATGGGGAACCTGAGACTCTCCTGCTGGGAGCTCCTCAGACCTTCTGGATGTTTCTACACGTGTTCCCTCATCTTACCTGTTGTGGAGCTGTGCCATTGGAAAGGATATCTAACAGATCAGAAGAGGAAAGAAAGTAAAACCTGGGGAAGGCAAGCCTTTTGGTATCCAGGTACTCCGCCAGGGCCTTTTCACACAGGTACAATCTGAGGGCACAGACACAGAATGTCTTCAGTTTGCCTAGACTCATAGGTATACAGACATTACCTAAATGCAAAAATATGCAATATAATAGAATACATGCAGAAATCAGAGCAAGAAACAATTCGGGGTATATGCAAACATACACATCGATACATTTCCATCAGAATAAACACCTCTAATAATACCACATAGTACCCAATATACAGGCAAACCAATACACACACAGACACACGTATTACTCCCTTGGGCAGTTAAATAACATAAGGATCTCAGAGACAGAAGTGGGGAAGGAAATACTGCCTCCTTCCTTACAAAGGGGGCAGCAAGCTGACCATCACCTGTTCTGAATATCTTCCAGTTTTTCATAAAGACCTGATTTGTTGGTGGCTTCCACTACATTTGGAGTTTTCTGAGCATCATAAACTAGCTCTTTGAAGTCATTATCAATGCCTTCAAATCTTTTCGAATCCTGCAAATAAAAATGTGGGAAAAAATTAACTATCACGCCTCTCAATTCCAAGAAGCTCCTCTTATGTAGCAGGGACCTGCTCTTAGGTTGTCCTAAGACTCAGAGAAGGAAATACCCTTAGCTTAAAACAGCAGTTCTCAAACATTTGGGTCTTAAAACCCATTTACATTTTTTAAAGAAAGCTCTTTGTATGTAGATAATATTATATCTATCAATATATCTTGTAATATTAGAAGCTATAAAATTTCAAAGTTGAGAAATTTTAAAAATATTTAATTCATTCGAAAAGTAACAATATTAAATGCATTAGTTAACACAATAACATGTATTTATCTAAAATAATTATATTTTCCAAAACAAGGTAACTCAGAGAAAAAAGTGACATTGTTTCATTTTTTATTTTTATTTTTTTTAAAGATTTTTATTGGGGAATTGGGGGGATGTGAACAGTGCTGGGGAATTGGGGAAAGGGGAACAGACAAGTTACTGTCGTTTTGTTCCTCAATCTAGTTATGGAGGATGTTGCTTCACTGGCCCAAGTTGGCACCATCATTGCGCTCTTCCCCGGCGAGGCAGATCAGTCGCTGGCCTCTGGACGGCCGCTCACTGCGGCTGCTGGCCGCTCACGCTCGCTGCTGGCCACACACGGTAGCCCATGGCAATCCACTGCCACAGGGACTGCAGCCCACGCCGTCGCCGGCGACTCACGGCAGCCCAGCTCCAGGTTGNCAGCCCAGCTCCAGGTTGAGCTGTCGTCCAGCATCTTAGCTGTGGAGGGCAGTGTCACCGGCCCTCATATGTGGGATCCGAACCGGGGCCCTCCGGCATCCCAAGCGAGTTCTTAACCATCGCGCCACTCGGCTGGCCCTCATTTTTTATTTTTACAAATCTCTTTCATGGCTGACTTATAAGATAACCAGATTCTCTTCTCGGCTTCTGTATTCAGCCTGTTGTGATATCACATGTCATGTAGCCACTGGAAAACTCCACTGTATGGTAATGAAAGAATGAGTGTAAAAAAGGCAAATAACATTATAGTATTTTTAATTATTTTTAATTATTTTTTGCAGTTACAGTTGACATTCAATATTATTTTGATAAGTTTCAGGTGTATGGCATTGTGGTTAAATGGTTAGACATTTAGATAATTTATGCAGTGATTCCCCCCAATTAGTCTGGTACCCACCTGGCACTATACATAGTAGTTGTTGCAACATTATTGACGATACTCTCTATGCTGTACTTTACAGCCTCATGACTATTTTGTAACTAACAATTTGTGTTTCTAATCCCTTTGTTTTTCACCCAGCTCTCCAAATCCCCTCCGCACTGTCAATCATCAGTTTGTTCTCTGTATCTGAGTCTGTTTTGTTTATTTTGTTCTTTAGATTCCACGTATATATGAGATCATGTGGTATTTGTCTTTCTCAGACTGATTTATTTCACTTAGCATAATAGCATCTAGGCCCATACATGTTGTCGCAAACAGTAAGATTTCACTCTTTTTTATGGCCGAGTAATATTCCATTGTATATATTACCACCTCTTTTTTTAATCCAATTGTCTATTGATGGGCACTTGGGTTGCTTCCATATCTTGGCTTTTGTAAATAGTGCTGCAATGAACATAGAGGTACATATATCTTTTTGAATTAGTGTTTTGGATTTCTTCAGATAAATATCTGGAAGTGGAACTGCTGGATTCTAAGGTTGTTTATTTTTAATTGTTTGAGGAACCTACCAACCATTTTTCATAGCGGCTATACCAATTCACAATCCCACCAACAGTTCCCTTTTCTCCATATCCTTGACAACAATTATTATTTGTTGATTTATTGATGATAGCTATGCTGACAGGTGTGAGGTGGTATCTCATTGTAGTTTTAATTTGCATTTCTCTGGTGATAAGTGACATTGAGTATCTTTTCATATGTCTATTGACCATGTGTACGTCCTCTTTGGAGAAATGTCTACTCATATCCTCTGCCCACTTTTAAATTGGATTGTTTGCTTTTTTTGGTGTTGAGTTACAAGTTTGTTTGTTTTTTTTTAATACATTTTGGACATTAACTCCTTATCAGATGTATCTTTGGAGCATATCTTCTTCTCCCAGTCAGTAGGTGTTTTTGTTTTGTTGGTTTCCTTTGCCGTGCAAAAACTTTTTAGTTTGATGTTGTCCCATTTGTATATTTTTTTTCTTGTTTCCCTTGCCCAAGGAGGTATATCCGAAAAAATATTACTAAGAACAATGTCAGAGCATTTACATAAAACTCCTTACTTCGAGAAGTTTTATAGTTCTGGGTCTTAACATTTAAGTCTTTAATCCATTTTGAGTTTATTCTTGTATATGGTGTAAGAAGATGGTCCAGTTTCATTTTTTTGCATGTATCTGTCTAATTTTCTCAACACCATTTATTGAATAGACTGTCTTTACCAAAATGTATGTTTTTGCCTACTTTGTCGTACATTAAATGACCATACAGGCATGGGTTAATTTCTGGGTTCTCTATTTTGTTCCATTGATCTATGTGTCTGTTTTTATGCCAGTACCAGGCATTTTGATTACTATGGCCTTGTAGTATAGTGTGATATCAGGTAGCATGATACCTCCAGCTTTGTTTTTCTTTCTCAAGATTTCTGTGGCTATTCAGGGTCTTTTGTGGTTCCATATAAATTTTTTAAAATTATTTGTTCTAGTTCCCTGAAAGCTGCCATTTGAATTGTGATAGGGATTGCACTGAACCTATAGATTGCTTTGGGTAGTATGGACATTTTAACATTGTTAATTCTTCTTATCCATGAGCATGGTATATGTCTCCATTTATTTGTATCTTCTCCAGTTCCTTTCTTCAGTGTCTTATAGTTTTCTGTGTACAGCTCTTTTACCTCCGTGGTTAAATTTATTACTAGTTTTCTTTTTTTTTTAATGCAATTGTAAATGGGATTGTTTTCTTAATTTCTCTGCTAATTCATTGTTGGTGTATAAAAAGGCAACTGATTTCTGAATATTGATTTTGTATCCTATTTTACTGAATTTATCAGTTTTAATAAATTTTTGGTGGAATCTTTCAGGTTTCTATATGTAGTATCATGTCATCTGCAAATAATGACAGTTTTATTTCTTCCTTTACAATTTAGATGGCTTTTATTTCTTGTTTGAGTGCTGTGGCTAGGACATCCAATGCTATGTTGAATAAAGGTGGTGAAAGTGAACATACCTGTCTAGTTCCTGACTTTAAGAATGCTTTTAGCTTTTCCCCATTGAGTATGATGTTAGCTGTGGTTTTCTCACATATAGCCTTTATTATGTTGAAGTATGTTACCTCTATTACTTCTTTGCTGAAAGTTTTTTTCATAAATGGATGCTGGGTTTTGTCAAATGCTTTTTCTGCATCTACTGATACAATCATATGATTTTTATCTTTCATGTTGTTTATGTGGTGTATCACATTAATTGATTTATAGATATTGAACTGACTTTGCATCCCAGGAATATTCCACTTGATTGTGATGTATGATACTTTCAGTGGGGTATTAAATTACCCTACCATGATTATATTACTGCTGATTTGTCCCTTTATGTTGGTCACTATATGCTGTATATATTTAGGTGCTCTTATGTTGGGTACATAAATATTTACACAGGTTATATCATTTTGTTGGATTGATCCATTTATCATTATGTAATGCTCCTCTTTGTCTCTTATTGTAGTCTTTGTTTTAAAGTCTATTTTGTCTGATATAAGTATTGCTTCCCCAGATTTTTTTTTCAGTCCCATTCACATGAAATACCGGTTTCCATTCCTTTACTTTCAGCCTGTGTGTGTCTTTTGATCTAAAGTTGGTCTCTTGTAGACAGCATACAAGGTACAACAATTAAGTTCGCTAACTCATCCTAGAAAAAGTGCTACATATCTCATTGCTGAATATCACTACAGTCACCTTTGAAGTGCTCCCCTTGGGAAGATATGCACCAATGCCTAGTCCACCTTTCAAAGAAATTTTGGAACTCTTTTTCTGGAATGGCCATCAGAGCTGTCATATTACCCATAATGTCCTGAATGTCATCAAAATGTCTTCCTTTCAATATTTCCTTTATCTTTGTGTAAAGAAAGAAGTCATTGGGGGCCAGATTAGGTGAGTAGGGAGGGTGATCCAATACAGTTAATTGTTTACTGGCTAAAAACTCCCTCACAGACAGTGCCATGTGAGTTGGTGCATTGTCATGATGCAAGAGCCATGAATTGTTGGCGAAAAGTTCAGGTTGTTTTCATCTAACTTTTCCATGCACCCTTTTCAGTACTTCCAAATAGTAACCTTAGTTAACTATTTGTCCAGTTGGTACAAATTCATAATGAACAGTCCCTCTGATATCAAAAATGTTAGCAACAGCATTACAACAAGTTCATGAACTTAATTGTCAGACCTTGTATGTACAGGTCTTGTTTTCTTATCCATTCAGCTACCCTGTCTTTTGATTGAAACATTCAATCCTTTATATTGGAAGTGATTATTGATAGATATAGTCATTGATATTTTATTATTCATATTTATGTTCTTTCCTTCACTTCATCTTAAAGAAGTCCCTTTAACATTTCTTGTAATACTGGTCTGGTGATGATGAATGCCTTTAACTTTTTCTTGTCTGGGAGAGTCTTTATCTCTCCTTCAATTTTAAATGATAGCATTGCTGAGTCTTGGTTGTAGGTCCTTGCTTTTCATCACTTCGAATATTTCGTGCCAATCCATCTGGCCTGCAGTTTCTGTTGAGAAATCAGCTGACAATCTATGGGAGCTCCCTTGTAAGTAACTAGTTGCCATTCTCTTGCTGCTTTTAGGATTCTCTCTTTGTCTTTAACTTTTGCTATTCTATAATGTGTCTTGGTGTGGGCCTGTTTGGGTTCATCTTCTTTGGGACTCTACTTCCTAGACATGTATGCATATTTCCTTCATCAGGTGAGGAAAGTTTTCAGTTATTATTTCCTCAAGTGGGTTCTCAATCTCAATCCCTGCTTTCTCTCTTCTCCTTCTGGTACCCCTATGATGCAAATGTTGTTCCACCTGATGTTATCCCAGAGGTCTCTTAAACTATCCTCACTTTATTCTTTTTTTTTCTTTTTGCTGTTCTGATTGGGTGTTTTCTGTTACCTTGTCTTCCAAATCACTAATTCAATCCTTTGTTTTATCTAGTCTGCTTGTGATTCCTTCCAGTACATTCTTCATTTGTTATTGTATTCTTAATTTCTGACTGTTTCTTTGTTAGTTTGTCATTTTTTATGCTTACTATCTCTTTGGTGAAGTTCTCACTAAGTTCCTTGAGCATCCTTATAACCATTGTTTTGAATTTCGTATTTGGTAGGTTGTTTGCCTCCATTTCGTTTAATTCTTTTTCTGGAGTTTTCTCTCACTTTTTCATTTGGGACATATTTGTCTCTCCATTTGGGCTGCCTCTCTTTGCATGTTTCTATCTGCTACGCTTCCCAGTCTTGGCTTGTGGCCTTATGTAGTAGGTGCCCTGTGAAGCCTAGTGCTACAGTTTCTCTATTCGCCTGTGCCTGGTCCTCCAGAAATGTCCCTTGTGTGGGGTGTATGTGCCCTCCTGTTATAGTTCAGCCTTGATTGCTACTGGCACATCAGTGGGTGGGATTGATTCTCAGGCTGACTGGATGTGGGGTTTGGCAACATCCAGAGCTTAAAGACTACTGTGAGAAAGGCTTACCCCACAGAGCGGAATTTGCCCCAGCGAGCTCTGGTGCCTGTTGAGGCCACCTTTGGGTCTGCTGCTTGTGGGGCTAATTAGGTGGTGCTCTGCTGTGGTCTGAAGCTCACCTGCACGTATGTTGGTTCTGGGGTCTCTTGGGAGGGGCTCCAGTTCAGGCGCAGGTCAGCCACTGCCTGTGACCAGCTGGGGAGTTCCTGGTAGAAGTTACAAAGCGACCTGCTCTTGGTCGCTGCTTGTGCTAGACCTGGAGGTGTGTGGGAGAGGCCACACTGAGAACCAAGGTTGGCTGCCACCAGTACCAGGCCTGCGGTAGCTTCTCAAAAAGCCAGGATACACCAAGACCTGCTGAGACCTGCCAGCTCCCATAAGGCTTAGTCACTGATAGATCCTGGTGCAGTACTCAAGTTGGGTGAGGTGAGGTCTCAGGGAGTCACCAGGGTGTGATAAGTGGTGTTCACCAGGTTAATGTACATTCTGGTTTGGTGCCAGTACTGAGCCTGGAGCTACTCAGCAAAAAGTCTCAGAGTACACCTCAGGCCATCCACCGGGGACCTGAGGAATCCTGGGAGTTTTTCATAAAAAAGTGCAGTGCAGGTGAGGTTGGTTGCCTGTTGAGAAAGTGCCTCCTGCCTTGGGCAAGTTGGGTGAGGCAGGGTCCCGGAGAGTCACCAGAGTGGATCGAGTGGCGTTCACCAGGCCAATGCAGATTCAGATTTGGCCTGTGGAGGGAGGTTCAACACAGGAAAGATGGCACCCACCTGTCTGCTGCACAGAAAAAGGATTCTATACAGAGAAAAAGGCAACTGTCCCTCCAGTACTCTCCCTGCAGCCACACAACTGTCTCTCCCTGTATATCTCTGATGCTTACTGAGTCACTGTCCCTCCAGAGCCCAGGGTGAGTCTTTCAAACATGTGAGTCTGTGCACGGGCCCTTTTAGAGGATGTCAGGATCTCCTGAATCCTTCCATCCTATCCTGAAGGTAAGAATCCCCATTGTTTTTCACAGCCAGATGTGGAGGCTTCTCTTCGCTGCACCAGTACTCCAGGCTGGGGGAGCCAGGTATGGGGTTTGGGTCCCTTGCTCCTGCAAGGGGAAAATCTGCAGGATATCCCTTCTGATTCTCAACTGCCACACACAGGCATGAGGCCAGCCATTCCACATCTCCACCCCTCCTACCAGTCTCGATATGGCTTCTTTATATTCTTAGTTAAAAAGCTTCTGTTCAGCTAGACTTCAGATGGTTGTCCAGGTTGATGGTTCTATAATTTAGTTGTAATTTTAATGTGGTCACAGAAAGAGGCTACCACAGTGTTTATCTACTCTGCCATCATAGATTACAAGCTCACATTTTAGCATTTTTATTAAGCTAGGTTTCATCTTGAAGATCCCCTGAAAAGGTCTCAGGAACCATTCTGGGGTCACTGGACCACACTTTATGAGAGCTGTTGACATAAAACATAATTTCTAAATCATGTAGATAGTGGGTTCATTGTTCTTTGTGGGTCCATGCACAAATTTTTAATATAATCAAAGTGAGTTTTTCCTCAGCAAATGTTTTCAAAGTTAATTAGATATCATCATTTCTTCCAAAACACTCACACCCTCACAGTGTTGTTGAAATGACTGAGACAATAATATATGCAAAGCACCTTAGCCCACTACTTGTCACCTGCTAAGAGCTGTGATATTATTATTATTATTACATAACAATCATAACAGTATGTGCTCTGTGCACTATTTTAATTAATTCCTGAAGTAGGTACTAGTATTAATCCCAATTTGCATAAGGAAACCAGGCCAAGAGAGGTTAAGTTACTTGCCCAAGGTCCCACAGCTGCAAGTGGGAGAGTTAGGACTCAAGCCTGCCCCAACAGCCCCAGTCTACTCCAGATCTCTGTAATCCACACCTCTCTCCTAAGAAGGTTTAAAACAAGAGGGTAGGGTAAAGTAATTTATGATTCCTCAATGAGAGATTTTCTTCCAATTAAAGATGAAAAAGTATCAGTGTTATAGACGTATCCGAAATATCTAGCATAAATGTTTGACTAAAAAGAGCTGAATAAAAAATTATAATTACACCAAAAACAGTTATGTTAAAATATGTATATATGTCAACACAAGTTGGGAAATATTCATAATGAATGAAAACAGTTACGAGTCAGAGTGTAAGATTATGACTAATTTTGTTATGTTTTGAAATTGTCTGTTATTATATTGCTAATATAAAGAAAATAAATATATATTTATATATTTTAACAAACCTATGTTTAAAAAAGTTAATGATACTAATTCTTTATTATGTTTAATTGAAAGTTCTCAAATGCTTCCTTTTAAAGGCTCTATAAAACTCTCCACCTTTGTCCTCACCTCCTTCTATTTAAACCTGTTCCAATCACTAGCACTGGAGATATATAAAATCTGGCTTGTTCAATTGGCTTAATTACAACAGCCATAACAGAATTGTTTTCTGTTATTTTACATTCAAATGTACAACCTTTAATCTACATTATTACATTAAATATGTTTTTGTGGGATGAGCTGGAACAATGTAATGTTGTAATGAAATGTGCTTTAACTTTTAAGAAAGGCCTGGACAACATGTGACATTTTGGAGGCAAACTGATTTGTAAGCAAAGAATTTGCTGTGCTGAAGAGATAGAGAAAGTCTGCAAAAAAAATTTGTTTTAAATGAACTAGAGTCCACTAAGGGGGGTAAGTTAGTGACACATTAATTAGAACAAGAGGCAATCAACCACAGGGAAGGTAGTAATGAGAACGCATATTTTAGAGAAATTCATTGTTCACTATTTAGCTGAAGACTGGTATTTAAAATCTGGCACAGGCCAGAGGTTTACAGAATGGCTCACTGCTGAGAAGGAACCTGAATTTGCCTGGAAAAGAATGCTCTTTCCTAGTCTCCACCTGCACTGTAATTATCTGCAGAGAAACCCATGTGTAGCTTATCCCAAACTGCAGTAGTAATATTTTTTATCTCCTTTCTTGTATACACATTAAAAAAAAATAGGTTCTTTCTTTTCCCACCTGTCTATCAAAAAATTGATTGGTGTGCATTTCACCTTCTCTCTTTTCCTCTGCCTGACTTCTGGTGGTTTATAGATCATGGTTTTTGGAGGTGCCTTTGTGTGAAGCCAAGGCAGGCGGGCAGAGAAGGAAAGAGCTAGAGGATGCAGGAGCTGGGTGCTGTTCCCCTGACTCGGTAAGGGAACAGACAGAGCAGGGTTTCCTTTGTACATACCTGGGGCAGCTGAGCCCGGATATCTTCAGATCCAATGAATATACTTTCCAGATGAGACCATGTCCGCTGCACATCAAACCAGATAGAGATAACAGCATCAGCTGTGGACAGCTTCTTCTGCCAGCCAGACACTTCCTCCAGGAAGAAAGCTATGTACTTGGACATCATCAGGTTCTGCAGTTGGACTTGGTTATCCTCCAGAACCTCGATGAGGTCCTCGTCCGAACGCAGCAGGGGGATGTTGGTCCGCGGGTGGGGCTCGTACTGGAATTCCATGCCAGCCCAGGTGGTCTGCAGCGCCTTTAAGATCTTCTCCATATCCATCTCTTTCACAGCTTTGTCCACAATGCCCCTGACCTCGTCCTCAAAGTGGTGCAGCTGGAGCTGAAGGAGGTGTGCCAGGGTGGTGTCCTCGTCCATGGTGAAGCTCACGCCCGTGGCCTGCATCAGCTGCCTCCAGTGTCGGTCCCGGATGGCCGGATTCTGCAGCTCAGCCACTGCCCTCAGGGAGGTCAGGGTATTCAGCACGGTGCTTTCCAGGCCTGTGAATGCATCCCAGGCCCTGACCTCCTTGTCAAGATTCCGGATGTGCCTGGTAAACTGCTTGCACTCCAAGTCCATGGCCTCCACATTAATATTCTTCCATGCAGTGGTCTCCCAGGCACGGATACTGGAGGTCACCATGCCAACTGTGTCCCAGAGCTCCTTCAGCTGGCAGACCTCCTTCCTGCACTGCTTCAGCTGCTTGTAGTCGGGAATGTTGACCTCAAACAAGATGGCAGAATCAGAAATGGAGGCCATGGTGGATTCCATCTGCTGGATCTCAAGGTGCCTGGCATCCAGCATCTGATGAGGGTCAGTGCTATCAAACCTACAAAACACAAGGTATCCCTTTGTAAGTACAGCATGTAAGTACCCGTTTCCTAGAATCACCAAAGTAACACCAGCTCAGTTCTTTAGATGCTTAGCATTTTAGCAGAGAGCAGTGACTTTCAACAAAACCTGGGAAGAAAAGACATTCTGGGTAAGTTGGAATATGGTGAGCACAACCAGTTGGAGGAAAGGCAACTAAAGAGGAACATCAAGCTTGGATCCTTTCTTCCCATTCCAGTAGTTAAAAATACTCCTCGTCCTCCACTTCCTCCAACTCCCCCATCCAGGTATAGAGTGGAACACCCATTTGTTCAAGCCCCCGTTAGACTCTCTTTCCACTTGTTGGCTTCCACACCACTCAACACAAAAGAACATTGTCTTGTTACCTGTAGATGTGGTAAAGCCAAAGGTCTTGCCAGGAGCTACCAGTGGTAGGTAAACTTCAAGTGAGAGAGCTGGCACTGAGAAGTCCCAGCCTAACCCTGCCTGACATTGCTCCCTCCAGAGCAGTCGCTCGCAGGCTGGCTGTGTGCTAGAATCTCCTGGAACCTTTAAAACATCTCCCTGCCCAGACTGCTCCCCAGTCCAAGTAAATCAGGATCTTTGGGGGTGGGACCCAAGCAAGGGCATTTTTCAAACTCCCCGGGTGGTTCCAGTGGGCCAGGTTGGTGCCCTTTGTGGTGAAGCTCACCCTGATGGCCTGCCTGCATCACCTTCAGGCAACAGTGTCTCCAAGTTCAAGAACCACTTGAAGACTGAGCACAAAGCCTCCACCAAGGCCCTATATAGTCACTGTCACTCCTTTCTTACGTGCCTCAAAGCAGGTTCCTAAGTCCCTCTGCCAGGCTGTTCTTGGCCTGCTCCCTCCCTCATCCTGGGGTAGCCCCTGGTTCTGTACTTGGACTTCTGTAAGCACTATATGTAGCTTTACAATTTTAGTTCACATTTCCTCATCGTCGTGTCTCCGATGCTTACAGCACACATCCACTGCTCCTGATCTTCACCAGTGTTAACCTACTTTACCCCTCTGGAGTTGTATTCCTGGTATAGCCTCTCCTCCAACATAATAACTCTATCTGCAAAAGAACCCACTGGGCAGATAACATCTCTTTGGTCAGGAGCACCCAGAACCCATGTGTTTAAGGAGCCTCTCATTTTCCTCCCTGAACCTCCCTTTATCCTTTCTCTCCATCGCCGATCTAAGGCTTTCTCATTTCTGTGAGTTTAGAGGGCTAAATATTGGGGATACCATGACTTAAGGGTGAATACTATGGGTCCTCTAAAATCAAATCAGAACATCACAGGGTGTATCATCAAGGGGAAAGTTGAGATGAAATGAGTGACTAGACAATTGGCCATTTCCGCCAATCGTGTGTATGTGTGTGTGTGTGTGTGTGTGTGTGTGTGTGTGTGTGTGTCTGCACATGTTGGTTGGTGGGGTGTGGAGGGGAGGGGAAAAGGGAAGAGAATGACATACAAACTCTTTTTCTTTTTTTTTTTAGCTGAGCCATCATCCTGTTGGCAGCTTAGTGGCTGCTCAGCTCGGGCCAGGACTCGAACCGCTGTTGCTCAGAGCTCACACTCTTGAGCGAGCTCTTAACCAACAAACTCTTTTTCTTGAACTGCCTCTTCTCTTGGTTGTCTCTGGAAATATCTGAGTTGACGGATGGAAAGTAATCCTAATTAAAGTCATTTACCTGAACTGCTCACCACTTAAGTCTAATTACCATGCAACACAATAACGGTTATGCATACCATTAAATTAGTGTCAGATTAACTTTGATGCTTGCTATGTTTGATTCCTGCTTGTTCAATCTAAATAGCTTTTGGCTCATGTGCTATGATTGTGGATTTACATCTTATGAGAATGAGACTGAACATCATTGCACTTCATTGTTCTCCAGCTCCCAAGAGTTTCAGAACAAAACACAAGCTTGGAATTCTCAGAGTTGAACAGGGCCCTCTGTTTATATAGGACAGGAGCTTTCTACTGCCCCATAAGAGCAGTAGAAAAAAACCTGTAAGGAAAAAAGGGAATGTCCTCATGGCAAGTGGTCCAGCAGGAAAGCTCACCACACATGAATGGTCTTTCTGCTTGTTCTTCATTTCCAAAGACTAATTGTTGGTATATGTAAGTTCCATTTTTTATCCTGACTAGAGTGAACTTGAAAAGTGAACTTAGCCTCTTGGTGTTAGTACAAGCTCTACCAGACAAATTCTAAAATCCCACATTATGTTTATTAATGGAGTATAATTCAGGAATAACTTATTACATAAGATACGAGCTATTAGAGTGTTTGGGGGTGTACATAGAAAATAAATGATCTTTCTAACCTTTCTTTTCTCAGCACATATGAACATCCTTAAATCAATATTGGTTCCTCAAATATTTGTAAGAGGCGATCATTTGTCAAACCTATTCCAAACTTCATCTACCCTGTGGCATAATTTTTATTTATCATTTAAATTTGTGGACAGTCATTTCCTGTAGCTGAGCACACATAAAAGTTAATTTGGCCTAAGTAGTGAAAGGAACCTCTAGACATGAGGGCAGGTAACCTTCTTCCCATTTGAAAACTGTAGTGCAAATTGTCAGGATATTCATAGACCTGATTAATGTGCCTAATAAACTTGAAACAGTTCTCCAAACCCTGAGGGAGCAATACAGCACAAGAACAAGAAAGTAATAGGAGAGAAAAGGGTGTAGTAAGTCTTTGAAATGGAAATGATAATGCATAAGTATTTTAATCTAAAAGAGAAATGCCTGGAAATTCTGGATGAATAAAGCTAGAATGAAGAGAAATGGAAACATGGTGCTCATGTGTGATCTTAGAAAAGTAATTGATTCAGGTCTGACCTAGACATGAGCAGAGAGAGGGAGAATGGAAAAGTGACTTAAATTAATTCTTGGGATGCTGGCAGTTGGTAATTGTTAATCTCAGCACCACACCTGTATATACAATGAATGATGACACACCTCTGCTCGATACCCCACAGGTATCATAAAACGCAACATGTCCGATCTGAATTTGTGATTTTTCAGTTCTTTCTGTTCTGTGGCACCCATGTCAGCGAGCAGTAAAGACAATCACTTCCACTTAGCTGACCGAAATGGAAGGTGGAAAATTATGCTAGAATCTCCAACCTGCTCATCTCCCATATCCTGCTGATCCTCCCACCCCAATCCATTCTCCTTTCTCCATTCTCACTGCCACTGCTTCAGTTCAGGACTACTGCTTCTCACCTGGGTTGTCACAATCACTGTCCCATGGAGCACCTGGCCTTGAGTCTGTTTCACCCTCTTCTGCTCCCCCACAGCCATGAGAACGTGGTATTTGCATTATGTTGTTCTCAACTTAGACTCGTCAGTAGTTGGTCAGTCAAAACCTGGGCACATGGACCTCTCCATTCTCATCTCCCTCTTCTTGCATTCCAGCCATACACACGTGCCGTTCCCCAGCTAGTTCTTACATTTTCATCCTTCTGTGCCACTGTCTTTGCCCAGAATATCCTCACTTCCCGTGCCTTTTTTCTCTAAGTGGTTAATTCTCATCTGCCTATTGGCTGAAGCACCATCTTCCACGGGGAACTGCTGTAAACTGCCTCCTCAGTGGGGGTTAGAGTTAGCACCCAATGAACATGACATGTCTAATTACTCATTTTTGAAATTGTCCTTGAGGCTGAGGTCAGGTAATGTGTATCATCTTAAAATTCTAGCACTTACATCATTTTTTGCTAACTCCACTGTTGAGACCAGAACCTATGAAAGTCCTGAATCATATGAATGAGTCAGATTAACTGGAAGAACAGAGTCAAGCTGAACTAATGACAAATCTTAGGATATTGATATGTCCCTGGGAGAGTTAACGACTATATATTGGGTTGTCGGAAAAGTCATGATGTATTTTTTCTGTTTTTCGTTGCAAAAATGTGTCAAGACTTTTCCAACAGCCCAGTAGCTCTTTTTTACAGCTGTAAAGAGACAACAGACATTGTGCAAGCAAGACAGAGCCCTTCTTTCCTCATGTCTGTTGCACTGGGCTATGTGGAAAGCCTTGCTTTCTCTAGCTGTCATGCAAGAAAGCACCCAATGAGAGGGTGTCTCCAACAACGCTCTCCCAACTGTTCATAGTACCTGGTTGCCAGTCAGCTGAAAACACTAACAGTGTCCTCTGAGCTGGAGCTCATAGGCATCATATGCTTTGGCTAAGAAACCCCTGGGTTACCTTGGTTTTGATTTGGGTAAGACTGTATGTCATAGCATTATTCCTTAAGGTCAGGAAGACCTTGCTTAAGGTCAGGAAGACTGAAGAAGAGAATGCAGCTAGACGTATGGCGCATTCCTTTCACACAAAGGGGAGAGTTCATCTCCAATTTTCAAAATTGAGGAAAGTCCTTGAATCTCAGCATGATATTTTAGCCAATTACTGTGACATGAGTGAGCTCAGCTAGAATATGCTGATACAGTTTAGAGTTAAGAACTAAAGAAAGAAGTAGAACTTGCCTTGGACATGAAGAAAGAACCTCAACCCAAGCAACCTGACTTCACCCAGCACCTGTCAGGCTGCAAGGGCCTAATGAGACACTCACTTTCCTTTTCCTCCTCAGAGACAAGATCAATGTGAGCTTAACCTGTAATCTAATCAGGCACAGAAACTTTCTTTTTTTCTTGCATTCAAAGAGAAATGTACCAGGGTCTGCACTTTAGAAATTCGTAAATGATCTAAAAGTGAAGGAACCAGGATTAAACTCATTTGCCACACACAGCACCTAAAACTTTTAAGCACATGTTCAAACACACCCAACTAAGAAACAAAATAAACCATAAGCTGATACCCTCTATGCTTCCCTTCAGCAATAAATCTACAATTCTGCTCTAGTCCTGCTGGTTTTCTTGACAAGAAGAGGAATACATCAAAATTGCAGTAACGTTTGGTTTTCCACACTGTGTGCAGTTCTTTTCAAAGTATTCTTTTGCAAAGATTCATCTGCATGTCAAATTAACAGATGTGAATTTGGAAAACCCAGCAAAGAGTAGCGATAGCCTCATAGCCAGCAGATCCAAGTGCTAAGAGAGAAAAAAACAATGCAGCTATCAAATGAACAAAACACCACTAGCTGATTGACACACACACACACACACACACACACACACACACACACACGATGTAACTACGAAGGAGGAG